GAGTTTAACAGTGGGGTGGACAGACATTCATAAAAGAAGTTTCTGTCTATCTGTAGTTGAATTGGTTATTTTACTCCAATCTGTTGCTGCAAAAACTTTTCTTCTGGTACTATAGCAGTGAACCTAAAGAGTACTGCTATGCATTTTGTGATGGGGCCCTCCGAGCACGTTCTGGTGTCATACGGTGTGTGAGTGGTGGCAGGCTGTGATTTGCAGATTTTGCTGTCTGCATAAATTGAGAGCCAGCCGGAAACAAGCAGTAAAGCCCACAGGATGCAACTGGCTGCTTAGCTGCAGATAGCAGCAAATACATTGAGAACTGCAGACTGGGTATGTCCAATACAGGGTTCAGCATTGTATTAGGTGCCAAGATATGCATATTCAGTGAGTACAGGATGAGGCATAAATAGTGCATGCATGTATTTCTTCAGCTCTTCAGATAGCTACTGTTTAGGGAAAAGATTAACAGCTCTGAAATTCATTCCTTCCATACTTCATTGCAAGTTCAGGCTTAACTTTGGGAAAGCTTTCTTTCATCTCGAACTTGTCATTCTCAGAAATGACTCATCTTTTATCTGGTGTGACTGGAAGTTTGTTTTTATAGTCTAGATCAGGTTACAAAGAAACCTCCTATTCCAAGCCATGGAGACCATCCAGCTCTGACAGTACAGCCTATGTATGCAGCAGGGACTGGAATTATTGTCAGCATTACCACAGAATAATATTATGGTGCAGCTGTTCTGTGTATCTGGGATTTTGGGAGGATTGGCAAGCGAATGGAATTTGCTAGCTAGCTCATTCTTCAAAATAGCTGACAAAAACGTATATGGAATTCTAATAATTGACCTGATCTGACAATATTTTCCTCAGGAAATAGCATTAAGTGAACCCCAGGACAAACATCGGGAATTGTTTGTGTTTTGGCCTTCTAAAATACTGTTTTCCCCTGCAGGTTCAAGAAATCCATCTCGATCAAAATAGAATTCCATATACGTTTTTGTCAGCTAATAATTGACCTGATCTGACAATATTTTCCTCAGGAAATAGCATTAAGTGAACCCCAGGACAAACATCGGGAATTGTTTGTGTTTTGGCCTTCTAAAATACTGTTTTCCCCTGCAGGTTCAAGAAATCCATCTCGATTACCTGCAGCACATGCAGACTCCTGTCCAAGCTCTCCTGCATTCAGAACAGGCAGTGAACCTTCTCTAAGCCCCACGGTTGTTCAGAAAGTCACCTCTGAGTCACTCGTAGGGGAAGCTCTTAGAGGATCAGACAGTCAGCTCTGTCCAAAGCCTCCACCTAAACCCAGCAAAGCACCCCTGATGAAGCCCCCAGATTCTCCTTTGGCTTCACACAGTTCTGAAGGACACTATTGTGAACTAAGCCCTGCCAGTGATCCTGCAGCAACAAAACAACTTGTATTTCAGAAAAACAGCTACATGGAACTGCTGACACGAAAGGAGAGGGGAACCTACTCATTCAGGAACTCTGAAACAAACTATTTGATCCTGGAAGATGATTCTACAGTGAATTCTGCAGATCTTTTAGAAGCTTCAAATGAGATGACTCAAGAAGACAGCATCTTTTCTGCCCCTGTTTTTGAGACAGTGTCTAGTTTTAAACCGAATGATTTTGAATCCAAGCTACTTCCTCCCGAAAACAAGCCATTAGAAACATCAATGTTAAGAAGAGTTAAGGAGCTTTTCACCAACAACAATCCAAAGATTATTGCACAGCACATTCTTAGAATGGACTGCAAGGTAAAAAAAATGAATTTGTTTCCTTGCATTTTATTTTATATTGTGCAAGTTTAGTCTTTTTAAAGAACTGACTTGAAAAGATTAATAAGTAGATTTGCAGCTAGTGTAATAAATGTATTGACTTGCAGGAATTTTTAGGGTGGGTTTTTTGTTTTGTTTTTTTACCATTTGGAGAAAAGAGTGTTAACAAGCCATTTGGACTAAAGGTCTCCTACCATCCTTGACTTTAGACTCAAATTCTTTGTGTTCCATACATGTTTTTAATTACCTATCAGCTGCCATCTATCTGTGATCCAGCCTTTCTTCTACACTGAAGGAAGAGCTATCTCTGCTGTAAACCACTGTGGGAAGAACTGCTCGTGACAGGAAATAGCTAACTAGCTTGCAAGGGCAAACAAGAGGCAGACATTACCTGGGTTTGCCATACTGCTGGCCATAATATAAGACATTCAATGCAACTGATTATATTTACACTTCTAAAACTAACTGCTCTCCTAATCTAGTCTTAGAGCTGCATTTCTTTCCTGTGAGAGAACTGTATTGCTAGTGGAACCAATTATAAAGATGTAGAAATACAAAGAACTGTTTTTCACAACATAGATTTTGTTCAGCTGACAGGGCCTGGAGATCAGGTCTTGGATCAGAAATATGGGAAGACAGAAGTAGTTACCTATTTATGATGACTTTGTGTAATAAAAGAAATGCAACTGCATTTGAATCTGCACCACTCTGCTGGTATGACTAAGGGCTGTACCTGCTGCAGAGCAGCTACAGGAACCAAATGTCATGGGCTTTGTTGGGTTTTGGTTGGCTGATTTTTAAGAGCAGCTTGAAAGCAACGCACATGGCTAGTTACTGAGCATCTCCACTGCAGACAAGAAAGCAAGTGGGAATGGTACTGCTCCAAAAGAAACGTGTCTGTAGCACTGGGCTAGCGCTGCTGCAGTGATCTGCACCATAGGTCTGGGAAGGGGGCAGTTCACTGGAGCAGCAGTGGTGTGAGCGTGTGTGAGTGCCTGTCAGCTGCCGGCTCCCTGCCAACAGCAAATACAAGCTGCTCTCCCCAGTAGCAGCGTTGGCTGCTGCTATGTGAGATTTCACGCAGACATGGTGACTCAGAAAAACCTCATCTCCACAACTGATCTTTACAGAAGTGATAGGTTGTGGCTTCCTTACTATGGTTCCACAAGTAGTAACAGTATTCTCCAACATTTTAGTTTCTTCCTTCAGTCTAATAGCAATAAACAATGCCTTTTACTATGTTGTTAAGGAGCATGTTGTTGAAGGCATCCAATATGCATGCCTTAGAGAAGTAGTAAGGTTGTTTTAATATATATGATGTTCAGTTTGCTCATTCATAGTGTCCTTATTTTAAGTCCTATAAATTTGGAATGGAGCCAAGGCAACTAGCCTGCTGGAAGAGTGGAAGCCTGTAAAATTAGTTAAGAGTCACTGGAATGTTTTACAGAAGCAGATCTTTTGGATTTTGAAGCATAAACACTAACTAGCTGGGCCGCTTAGAGAAGTCTTTTATCTTCATCTTGCAGTGCTCAGAGCCAATGACTGTTCATTGGTAACTTTTTGCACACTGTACCACATTGGTGCACGATACAATGAGACAGACCAATGTGAACTCGGCCAGAATAACTCTGTGCACTGAGATCTATGATAAGGCTGAAGTTCATAGGTCGTCTCGTGTGGCATCAGTAGCTCAGTTTGCCTTTTAAAGGCAGACATTTCTAGATGAAAGAAGCACATATATGGTAAATGATGAAGTGCATACCTGCTACTTGCATCCCTGAGAGGGCTTTTTGAGATGGACTAGCAACGGTGTGTCTTCAGGGGCTTCCTATCACTCCTGCATCTCTAGAAGTGAAACAGGTTTCTCTACAGTGCTACCTTTTGTACCAGTGAGGCTTGTTGTGCGGGCCAGATTACTTTCCTCTTTTCATAACCAAGAAAGCCTGCAGATGGATGTATTGGAAAATAGCAGGCAGATTGGTTTGTAAATGTGTCAACATACAGGCCTTAAACCTGCAGATAATCTCACACTCTCATATTAATGTGGTTTTGCTTATAATTAGCATGTGTAATTGTTACTGATGTAACCAGTAGCTTATACTGTATATTTAAAAATCAAAGAGAAATTGGTGAGGGTGTCAACTTTCACATCCTGCATTCCTTAGACACAACATTAAAGTCCCTTTACTAATTAAGCCTTATGAAGACCCTGTGGTGTAACCCCAAAACATTCTGAGCAGTTGTCTTTCTAGAAATGAAGGCAAAGCAAATGTGTGCATCTTTAAGGCCAACATCTTAAAGGCAAAAGAGCTGTGCCACCCACAGTGCCACCCTGACAACAATCAGGTCAAGTGACTACCACGCATCTGGGAGCTGGCATATGAACTTCTTTCTGGACAAGGACAGAAGCTTGATAAAGCATTTTGGTCACACCTTTTATATGTTTCCTAATGACTGAATCATTTTAAAAAAAAAAAAAAAAGTAGGTTTGTGGGGGTTTGTGTGTAAGACACTGAATGTGCTAAGTTAGTAAAGTTTTTCTTAGATTACTGTATGCTAATGTACGCTGAGCACTTAGTTCTGTATGCCCTGCTTTTACGTGGAGGACTTCTACATGGCTGGTTTGTGGGGTTTTTTTTCAATTAAGTTGTTTTCAAAACTCATGCACAAATATTTGCACTTGACAGGTGGCAAGGATACTAGAAGTTTCTGAAGAGATGAGGAAGATTATGGGAGTGAACTCTGGTCTTGAACTGATTACCCTGCCTTATGGACACCAACTGCGCCTTGACCTAATTGAAAGGTAAACGTTTCTGTTACTCATTTCCGGGGCAGATGGCCAGAAGATCAGAGCATTGCTATATTGTATTCTGCATTTCCTCCAAGCGTGTTCTCCTGTACGTTTTCTGAACTCTGGTGGACAGAAGATAATGTAGCGAGATGGCATGTAACTACTTTTTTGCACAGAAAAGATTCCTTAAGGTCATGGGGCAACACCATGCATGTCATACAGAGAAAGTGGAATTGTATCGAAAACAGGGTCCTTGGCACTTCTGAACACCCTCAGCACTCCTTTAAGAATTTAGGTAAAGTTTGGGGACCTCTAAACTTGTTGAGCATGCACATAGTTTCTGGAAGAGATTAAAGGTAGTGGCCTCCTGTAACTGATGAACAGGCTAGAGGATCTAGTGAAGTAAGAAACGATCAGCAAAGCTTTCTGTAAAACTTCTGCACGAGGGTGCAGTTAAGGTCTTCTATCCCTCATCTACAGTTTCTGCTTCTCCAATGCAGATTTAAGTAATATAGTTGCTGAAATTCAGGGAGAAAGTGTGAGAATTTGAATGTGGAAGACAAAGGGAATTGGGGAAATTTTCCCAAAAGGTTTCATTCATGTGTAATAGTAGTATCTTTTATTAAATTTATTAAAACACAAATTTCAAGCCAGTGTAGACATATATATTCCATATAATGGCATTACTGGTCTTGAAACAAGTATGTTGCTAAGAGTAATTTACTGGGCACACTGAGGTATTGAAAGATACCTTTGAATTGATCTTTTCTGAACATATGTACAGTGTAACATATTATTAATTTAATAATTTGTAACCTCTAATATAAATTGTTTCACTGACAGGCACAATACCATGGCAATAGGAATAGCTGTGGATATCTTGGGCTGCACAGGAAGTCTAGAAGACAGAGCAGCAACATTAAACAGAATCATCCAAGTTGCAGTAGAGCTGAAGGAGTCACTGGGGGATTTGTATGCATTTTCCGCCATCATGAAAGCACTGGAAATGCCACAGGTACAAGTCTTTTCCTCTTTACATTCCAAACATGGAACTGTTTGATGGCTTATTACATTTATGTAATTTCTTCAAGACTACAGAGATCATCAGAAGAGAAACTGCATCACTAGCAGTGTACTCTTTCTCTGAATTGCTATGAAGGCAATTAATAGATATTCTCTATTTTATATGAACAGGTCTCTAGGTTAGAACAAACCTGGACTTCTCTAAGACATCATTATACCCAGACTGCCATTCTGTATGAAAAACAGCTGAAGCCGTTTAGCAAGGCTTTGCATGAAGGACAAGATGAGTGGAATAGTGAGTATGAGTGACACTGGTTTCTGCTGAGCCTTTTGAATCTCCTACTACCGATTTCCTGTGTAGGGATATGAGGCAGCTGCTGTTTCGATAGCTGTGCAGCATACATTAAAATGACTACAAGGACTTTAATAATGCCGTATAAGACAATGAAATAGAAGGAAACAGTCTGCCAGCCAAACATCAGCATGTGTTTCTGTCCATATAACATTCTGCCTAAACCCACACTCCCCATTTTGTGGAGCAGAAACACTCTGCCTCATCCTGCCTCAGACAGGGGGGAAAAAAAAATAATCTTCTTCAGAGGAGAGTTACTCCCAGCACATTTTCTTTATTTGCTTTGTCTGTTGGATCAGAGGATGAATCCTCAAATACCTCACGAGGTGCGCCTGCACCAGATTCTTTGCAGCTCTGCTCTCCAAAGGGGTGCAAAGCAGAGGTAACTAACTTTTCTCTGAACGTTCTAAGAGAATGGGTAGAGAAGAAAAACTTTCTGGCCTCACAGAATTTACTGGAAGGACCCAGATTTTATACATTTAAAAACTCCTGCCACTGTCTAGTAATTCAGCAGAGCCTTCTCCTGTAGCAAACACAGTTTTCCGACACTAATTTGTCTTGGCCTTCTCCCTCCAACTGGTTCACTGGGAACTGGCAGGACAGGTGTGTCTGAGGTAAGGTGTTAAATTTGACAGCTAGAAGACACGTACTAGTTTCCGGCTTTGAAAGGAATACTGCAGTTAGAATACCTTCTTCAATTAATAGGATAATGTCTGATGATATGAATCATTTGTTGTTCTCTATCTCAGAGACTGTCAGCGCTCCACAGAACAATGTAACAGTGCCACTGCTGATGCCTCTCATTACCTTGATGGAGCGACAAGCTGTTGTTTTTGAAGGCATGGACCTGTGGGAAAGTAGTGACCAAAGCTGTGAAATAATGCTCAAGCACTTGTCCACAGCTCGTCAGATAGCACAGAACGCAGAAGTGTACAGCCTGAATGCAGAACGGGTGCTGGAAGGTAGGGAACACGAGTAGGAGAAACTGCTGCATGTGAGCAGGAGGTGTGGGTTATGTCTGAAGAATAAGGCCTCTGCCTAAGTGTGGCTAAAAGTCAGTGCAAGAAATTCTTCTCTGCTTTCATGGGAGCCGAGATAGGAGCAAATGGCCTGCAGGAAACTCAGTCTGAGGACAACATCAATATTGTTTAATAGCAGACAGTAAATTATTCATCATTACAGTTCTGCAGTAAGCAACAGAGATATGTTTTTTTAAACACAGTCAGAGTTCTCACGACTTATATACTGACCCTTCTAGTAACTGAAGTACAGTAAGGATGGAGGATAACTTCCTGTCTTCTGTACAATTAAAACTCCTACTCTGATTTTTTCCAAATAAACCCATCATGTTAAGATTCTTTACAGCCGTGCAGGATGCGATGCTGAGATCTTGACCATTTGCAGCCAGAAAGCAGCAACATGTTAATAACATGATTTTCTATGTTAAACTTGTAGTGAAACAGGGAAGAGAGAGAAATACAAGTATTTCTGTAGGCAGCATATATAAATCAGTACCTATAAGGTCAGGCCATGACAATTCTAGACCCATGAGAACTAACTCAAGTGTCCTAGTGTCCTCAGAGCCATTTATTTGTGTGCTACTAGAAAGTCACAGATGAAAAGGATTGTCATTGTTTTACTAACTTCTTAAAGTAAGTGTGCAAAAGGAACAAGCACACTAAAGCTTATTTACTTGGAGCTAATATAGTTTAAAAGCTATTTCTTCTGAATAAAAAAACTTGCCTGAGGATTATATTGTGGGATTCTTTTTACTCACTAGGTTTCCAGCCAGATGAAGAGATGAGTGAAATCTTCAAGACAGAATTTCAAATGAGATTGCTCTGGGGCAGCAAAGGAGCAGAAGTTAAACAAAACGAAAGATATGACAAATTCAGCCAGATTTTAACTGCACTTTCCCGAAAACTGGAACCTCCCCCAGTGAAGCAGGTGGAACAATTAAGTATATAAGACTGTAAACACTATTTAAATTATATACTCGAAATAACCTTAGCTTTCTTTTGGCAGTTTGGTAGTGCACAAACTTCTTGCATTTCACAAGGAGTTTAGAATTTCTAACTGCACAATGCACACTTGTTTTAAAACTACTGATTTCTAAACAAGTTATTTATTTACTGTGTCACCAAGTCACTTAATGGTCCCTTTAAACAGTTAGGTTATCCCTGCGAGATAGCCTTACAGCTTTTTTGCATTTCCCCACAGCTGAAATGTTTTGGTAATGCCTAGGAGCAAGGGCATTGGCATCTTAATACTAAAATGAAGCAACAAGTGTAAATAAAATGATAAACTATGTGACATTGCAGAAAATTTGCTGTACCATATTCCTTTAATGAATATAGAACACTGTACATAAAGAACTGTGAATTAAAGTATATCTTTATGCAAAATAATGTGCATATTTCCAGAACTACTGCAGGTTACAGAAATGATCCTTTATCTGCAACCACAACAGAAGGCTCAAATATCACTGCACCTATGAAAGTAGAAAATGAGTTGTGTATGTGCTGGGACAATGTTGTGGGTTTTTTTAAGACAGCATCTGTAGTACTTCGGCTTTTGTTGGAGCCTGCACAACAGCTACGCTGCCAGGGATGAATGATGAAATGGCAAGAACAAACAACCCAGATAAATAAAATGCTTTTAGATATGAGTAAATGTAGGTGTATGTATATATTAAACTTGCTTCATTTACTGAGGTGAATCACTTTGGTAAGTAGTACCAAAGGTTGGACTTGATGACCCTGGAGGTCCTTTTCAACCATAATTATTCTGTGATTCTGTACTTTTTTTTCCTTGGGTGAAGGCAAAGCGTAAGCTGTTAGCACTTTTCACAGGAAATCAGTGTCCAATGGTGTTTACATGAAGAGTGCTTTAGCAGCGAATTCCACTTTGTCACATAGTGAATTAGTGTATTGGCATTATTGTCACAAGTTGTATAAATATTTAAGCAAGAACTATGGACTAGATGATCTTTTGAGGTCCCTTCCAACCCCTAACATTCTGTGATTCTGTTCAGGGCTGCACGTGCTCGTTGTCAGTAAGCGTATTTCTGGAGCGAGATGTTACAGCATTTGAAACTATTGGAGTAGGCCAACAACAAAACCAGCACCAACATCTACAAGCACAGAAGAGGTTCTACCACCATAATGACAGGTTACAGACCTAATGCTGAAAGTCTCCCTCTCTATCTCAACAGAAGACAAACAGGGAAGCTAATTACTTAGACCATGAAAAGATTTTTTTTATTCCATGAAAATATTCTCAACAGAGAACACTATTTTTAAACAAAGCGTTTAACATTCAGGAAATCAACATGTGCACAAAAAGGGATTAAAAATTACTGGAAAATGTAAGATTCTTTAAGACAACTCACGTTCAGAATTTTAGCGTGATTTATAACTAGCTGTGCAAGTACAAATGATTTTTTTTTCCTATGTTTAATAACCCTCATACAAGTTGCACTACCCCTCCATGAAAGCAACCTGCCTCCAAAGGAAGCAAATCCTGGTTTTAGAAAAACAAACAGTAGCGTGAAAAGAACTTTTAGTCCTTTACCAGGAAGTGTTACCTGCAAGGCTGTTAAGCCAGGCAAACCACAGACCCTTTAGCAGAAAATACACAGATCACATTTCTTCCTTATCTCTAACTTTAAAATAAAGAAGCACTAGGTTTTTAAAAAAAAGACAAAACCACAAACCAACAAAAAACCCCTACAACCCACCCCCAAAACCCCAAACCCCCAAAACCTACCTAAGTAGTTTTGTCAGTATTGAGTAATGTCACATTATTATATAAATAACCCTGTATACAAGCTTCAAAAATCTAAACTTTAGAGTTTAATAGCCCCCGTAGTACACTACGTCAAGCTGTGTAATAGTGGTATACATAACAAAAGGAATAAACCCCTACACAAGTCACTCAGATTCAGTTTTACTGGTAGTACAGTTCCTAATAACACTGAAATTAAAAAGAATCCAGCACTGCTGCACCCACATATTGCTTGAGACCCCAGAAAAACAGGATATTTTGATTATTAATTTCATTTCCCCAAACAGCAGGCGGCTGGGTTGACAAGCTTGCTTTGATACAAGTATCCCTTCCCCCAACATCTCTAGTCTAATTCTTATCACCCTAATAACTCAGATATGATGTATTTATTAATCAAACCACAAATGGGAGGCAAGACAACATAAGCAATAGGGGCACTGCAGACAACTATATTTACACATATAAACATATCCAAATTTCAATTGTTTACAAGTAAAAGTGCACACAGATCATTACGAAATATCACTCAAATTTCAACTGGTCCATACAATGAAGCGTCGCCTGGAAATGGACTAGCACTGCAGTAATTAAAATTGGAACTTCATAGTGAAAAATTAAAAGACAGTTTCCATAAAAAATATTTTAAAAAATATTAAAGTCAAACAAAGAGATACATTTCAATGTATAAAATTCATGATGCACCATGTATCCAGTAAAGTAGAGCTCTAGAAAACACCTACCGTGGCTACCTCAGCAGCTGCAGGACTGCGAAAAGAGCTGAGACGCAAAGCCCTTTGTGGGATACTGTAAATGGTAGTGTTGGCAAACAACAGATTTAGGCACTCTCGTTTAAGGCAGCATTTGAATGGCAAGTGGTTGACTTCTGAAAACAGTCATTAGCTTGCAGTGGTGAATCTCTCTGGTGGTGTTCCAGGATTTCAATGCTCACGACAGGTTACTGAAGTGCTGAAGACGGACCACAGTTCTCGGAGTTTCTCTTGGTTGCATTGTAGGCTAGAGCTGAGATGCATTATTTCCCCAAATCAACACAAATACATCATGGTCACTTATCAGTTATGCCAAAAATGGGAATGTAATGATGGTTGCAGTGGGATAGTTATAGCATGGGTACTGGGATGAAACTCTAGTGCTGAAGATATTTAAAGAAAACAATTTGTTATGAAATAAGACAAGCAATCATGGCAGAGTGTTATGCAGACAGGCCTGACTGTCCTAGGCATGCAGGAGGAGGTTAACAGCGAGCATGGAGGTGGCACAGGCAGACTGATAACTGACGTATCTAAGTGACTGCCAATTAAAATGAGTCCAAAATCATAGCTGATATAACTAAAACATAGGCACGAGCTAAAATGTAAGTTTGAAAATAAAGCAATTTTAGGAGCAGTATAGCCTTTTTACTCTGGAAAAGGAAGTCTTATTTTCCTGCACAAATGGAAGAATTTGTAATATGTCCTTACCTATGTATGGAGATGCTAAGATGTTAGTGACTAAATGTACGTCTGCATGCATTCATGCAACTAGCTTTTCCCCTTGGGCCTCCCCATCTAGTACCCCCCACCCCCCTCCACCCCCAGCAGCTGCATGTAACCTCCTTCAAGATCTCGCCCATTTTCTCAGAAACCCGCTTCAGGAACCTGCAGTCCAAGAGGAAAAAGAAAAGAACAAAGTTACTGAAGGCCTTTAGAAGACACAGAAGCGTGCTCGTTTCTAACAGGCCACTCTCAGTGCCTATACATTAGCCTTGTACTTAATTCCACAAACTCATTAGAAACACGAGCCACGGCTTTTACATTAGCTTTTATCTCAAGTAATCAAGTAGTACAATGCAGTTTCTAATCCTCAGTGATTTAACAGTGAGGGGAATTGTACATTTAAGACCTTGATTTCAAACTAAACATGATGAAATTCAAAGACAGATACAGGCACAAATTAAGAATATCAACTCATTCCCTTTTCAGGAAAAGAGAGAGGTTTCAGTAAGACATGAAGCATTACATGCATGTGGTCTCTTTTTTGTTGGTGCAAGGTATCTAAGAGTTAGAACAATGACGTTGTGTCAATATTCAACATTCTCTGTTACAAGTACTGAAAAGGAAGGAGAGAAGCAGGTCAGTGGACTTTCTGTCCTTAATCGTAATGTCTTTTCCTGAGTATTTTTGTTGAGCTTTCAGAATCAGAAAACATTTTCCTGTTTAAGAAGTGAAAGCTGCCAAGTATTTGTGAAGGAAGGAAATTAATAATTTTCAGTAACTGAGTTCATTTAGTTATTAGATGAAAAAACTCTCTGTTTTAAGCATATACTTTAAGTCATAAAAGTGGGAACAGTAAATCTTAGAGATCTTTAAAATAAGTAATTTTTCAATTCTCTCTTAAAAAAGAGAGAACTTTAAAAAGACTGGTGTAAGATGCATAATTGAATGTGGTTACCTCTGAAAAAACTAAAGGAAACTCACACTGCAAAGAACAGACCATTGCTGACTTCTGATATTCTAATGCTTTCCATGAACCTGTGTAACTTACTATTTTCCCTGGGGAGGGTACAACTGAAAGCTGCCAGTTTACTGTTAGATATAGGTTACTGCACCTTTGCTGTTTTTCTCTAGCGTTACATCTATATATGATGTTGGCACATAGCCTTCCTCTCCATTATGTCTTCGAGCTCTTGTCCACCCATCTCCTTTGTCCTCCTCAATAATGTACAAAATTTCCCCTTCTTTCATAGCTAGAGTGCCTTCATTATGACCTAGGAAAAACAAGAGGCACAGTCTCAATGTTCGTACAGAATTTCAAATCCTGTTTTTCCCAGAGCATAGTTTCCAGATTATATATAAACAGGAAGAACCAAAAATCTGTGCAAGAGAACATATGGTCCAACAGGCTTACAGACAAAAAATCTAGTCCAATTTGTAAAGCTGAATATTTGCCAGTAGGTGTGCTAATATTTATCTTAAACCAGCACAAAAGTACTGCTCATGAATTAAAGTGATTTATAAAATATTTCCACTGAACTTATAAGCAACTAGTTGCTCATACAGTTAATTTACTTTAAATCATTTTACTTGTCTTCTCTGACAAATAGTCTGTGCCTTACAGTAAAGGAATCGGTAGTGCATGTTGTTAACCTTACCATCGAATGGATATATTGCCTTGCAATGTCCTATAGCGGGTAATGGATCGTCATCTTCAAACTCATCATCAAACTCGTTTGCATGTGCGTGTTGCTGAGCTGGGCTTCGAACTTCCTGATTTGCGTCATCCGTGTAACTCCCTTCAGGGCTATAATGCAATGAGCAGAGCATGAGGACTCTTCATGAACATGAAGAGTTCTTAGCTCTAAAACTCAGAACACACGTGCTTCACAGGAAGGGCAGGCCAGGGAGAGCACTCTGGGAATGCCCCTTAGCAGTTCTCATATTTACCGCTGGAGGTGATTTTCTGGAAATACTCATCTAACGAACACCTGGACCAAATTCTTCTACAAAAACAAATACAAATTTGACATACCTCTTTCTACAGAACATGGAAAACTGGTAAGCATTATGCAATGGAGTAAGTTTTAAAATGGAGTGAGTTTTAACAGGCACTGCTATTTCCTGAGTGGGTGTTTTGATTAGCTTCACTATTTTTTTATGCCACCATAATCACATGAAGTGACCTCTAGAATTCAGAACCAGTAAGACTTTAGAAGGACATAAACTTTCAGCAGATAAGTAACAATTACCACCTACTGTTAACTATCAAAGAAATGTACTGATCTTAGCTGTAAGTCATAAAAGTGGAAGAGATAGAATAGTACCTCTCTCTGCCCTGTGTTACAAGGTGGTTGATATCACTGCTGTGCCGCCTATCACTTCTGGCTGCTACTTTACCTTCAACCTCAGAGAGCCAGGCCTTGGGGAAAAAAGACAAATATTGGTGTCACAGAGAACTAAACCAGAAATACCATTTAACAAATGCACTTAACTGCCTACATGTTACTTGTCAACACACAGACACATTGAGACTGCATTCACATGTGAAGTCTCATACTTACTTCACATGAAGCGTGAATCTAGCCCTCATGCTTAGCTTATATTCTGTTCTGGTCTTAAGGGAAAAAATAATCTTTAACAACATATGAAATTCAGAACATGTGTCTTGGGTTACAATATGTAAC